TCCCCCAAAATATCAACGGAGTCAGAACTGGGGCTTCAGCTAAGGGGCTTCATACCCCAAGAGCCCTGGATGACGTCCGCCGGTGCACCTACGATCAGTAAAAATGTTTTGGGGCTTTTGGAACGGAGAGTGTTTTGCAGATGCAGGGAAGATTGATCACAAGTACTGGGGGGCTGGACATCTGTTGTGAGTCCAACTGCAAAGACAGGCCACAGAGACAGGTGGAGCTAATGCAGCTCTTCTCTACCAGCCTGCTATTGAACGGGTCTCCACCTGCTGTCCTTCCTGCTGGCTCGGTGGCTTCAGAGCAGCAGACTGGAGCAGGTTGTGAGAAAATAGAAAACTGTCCAGGCGCCCTCTGCTGGCGAAGGGTGGTACAGCAGGCCAATAACATCACAGAGAGGGTGACACACCCCCCTCTGCTGTAAACTTACACCCTTCCCATCTGGGACACCTGTCTGCTCCCCGAGGGGGTAACATTAATGCATCTAGGAATCTGTTTCCCCCCTATTCTGTTTCACTTCTGAATAATGCGAAATAGAGACGTCTTCTTTTACTGTAGCTTTTGTGACAGCACACGTTGCTGAAACACTGTCTGCCCTGACTTCCTTGTTGGCAAGGTTTTGTGGCCGTTATGATGACTCTGCCACAAACACAAACTTTAGCACCACCCCTTCCCCCGAGGAAAGGAGTACAGTCTGACCCCTATTCCAACTCATGGCCTCATCACCTCTGCCCCCTCGCTGCTGCCGCCATGTGGCCACAGCGATTAGTGCACAGTAGTGCCTCATCTCTGATTCCTCGAATCTGCTCTTAATGCCGATCCAGATCGCGTCACAGTGGTGCAGACTGACTGTGTGTCTCTGCGTCTGTGTTTGCAGGAATGCGAAGCCTTGAAGTGCAAGGTGATCGTGTGTCAGATAGCCATGCTGGAGAAGGGCTCCTCCATCCACATCAGTTTCTCCGGGCCGTCCAGCTTTAACGTCGAGGATCTGAAAGGGGTGAGTCGTGTGAACTGGGCAGGGCATGGGTTTTTATCACTCAGTCACTGTGCTGCTTTCTGTTTGTGAAACACAAGCCAAGGCTGCATGTGGAAACTGCAGGAAAGTGCATTTAACACAAAGAACAGGAGGCACGTCTCTACACAGAGGGTGGTGGGAGTGTGGAACAAGCTGCCCAGCCATGCTGTGAAGCATATGGCTGGATGAGATTCTGGGATCAATGATCTACACATGAGCGAATGTGTTCCCCGCCTGTGACAGTCTCCTGTTGTCCTCCATGCAGAAGCTGTCCTTCTCTGAGGAGAGGATCCAAGTGGACTTCTCCAGCTCTGCCCAGCTCAGCTACGACACCAGGCGCTACGTCCAGTACAGTAGCTCAGGGGTCAGTGTCCACGGCGTCCTCCTGCGACAGTGCAGTGGGGGTCCCTGCCGAAGAAGAGAACACTCTCAGTAGCTCCCTCTCTGACTCTCACACCCAGCCTCCTGCTATCGTTCAGCTCCTGTGCCTCTCTGTGCCTCTCACCTCACTCCCCTCTCCTCCCTCACACTGCTTCCCAACACATTGTCTGAGTCCCCTTTAAGACCTCTGTCTCACTTCCTCTCTCAAGACTTGTCTCACTCCCCGGCTCCCTGGCTCATCTCACTGTCCCTCTCACTCCCTGTCCCACTTAGACCCTGTATCTCAAACCGTCAGTCTCACA